ATTGATCCAGTGTTACTACAGGAGGAAACCTAAACTAACTTTATTTATACTGGATAGCTCTATCAGTTCTAAACTGTTCTTCCTAGAGATCCAGTAAGGATTATCTCTTATTGATCCAGTGTTACTACAGGACAGGAGGAAACCTAAACTAACTTTATTTATACTGGATAGCTCTATCAGTTCTAAACTGTTCTTCCTAGAGATCCAGTAAGGATTATCTCTTATTGATCCAGTGTTACTACAGGAGGAAACCTACACTAAACTAACTTTATTTATACAGGATAGCTCTATCAGTTTTAAACTGTTCTTCCTAGAGGTCCAGTAAGAATCATCTCTTATTGATCCAGTGTTACTACAGGAGGAAACCTAAACTAACTTTATTTATACTGGATAGCTCTATCAGTTTGAAATTGTTCTTCCTAGAGGTCCAACAAGGATCATCTCTTATTGTTCCAGTGTTACTACAGGCGGAAACCTAAACTAAACTAACTCTATTTCTACTGGATTTCTCGATCAGTTCTAAATTGTTCTCCCTGGAGGTCCAACAAGGATTATCTCCTATTGTTCCAGTGTTACTACAGGAGAAAACCAAAACTAAACTAACTGTATTTATACTGGATTTTTCTGTCAGTTCTAAACTGTTCTCCCTGGAGATCTAGTAAGAGTCATCTCTTATTGATCCAGTGTTACTACTGGAGGAAACCTAAACTAAACTAACTTTATTTATACTGGATAGCTCTATCATGCAGTTCTAAACTGTTCTCCCTGGAGATCCTGTAGAGATTATCTCTTATTGATCCAGTGTTACTACTGGAGGAAACCTAAACTAAACTAAATGTATTTATAGCGGATTGCTGTATCGGTTCTAAACTGTTTCTATATTTTCGCAACAGCATCACGCTCGATACTGGATGTGTCAGAAAGGGAATCGTTGGTTGAAGATGACGTGGAAGAAACAGCTCGATGCTTTGAACGAAACCTTGGCAAGGAAAAACGAAAGTGGAAAAGGTAGTAGACAACTTTCTCTGTGGTCTTGCGTGCCTCTAAATGTTAAAAACATTACGTTTGCTGATCTTGAATTATGTTTAATTGATTTTCCTAGTTAGTTTTTTCAATCAAAAGGGCTGAAATGTGCATTAAAAAGCATCATTCAAAAGGCTGTGAACTGTGTCTTTAATCTAATATAATATCCATAGTAAAACAGCTAAAGTCCTTTCATTGAGAGTCAGCTCAGTAGCTACCATATACGATCTGTAATGAGGGTCCACGTTAAGCTGGCCATCATATCTTCCAAAAGTTTTGGCACCATTCCAAAATTTTCCATTTTCCAAAACTATCAAGTGAATAAAAATTTTCATTTTATATACACGATGATTATGATTATTTTATATGCATTTATGATTTACCATCCAGATCCTAAAGATTCAGTATAAAAGCCATCTCTGTTTTGGACCACTACAAACATTCAACAACCCCTCGTCAACATTCCATTTCTATACCGATTTTCTTTCAGATTTGAAGACGAGTTAAGATCAATACTTGACGAAGACGATTCGGTAGATTTAAATGTCAGTGTTAATAGACAAGGCGTAAAAAGGAAAATTCCTTCCTGGAGCTCCGGCTATAGACCGGAAAAGGTATTGTATCCATCTTTTAAACCTTGCGGGGCTGTCAACGTACGCACAAAATACCTCGCAAAGTACAAGACTTTCTCGGACATGCAATGTCTAAATTCTGATGTGTGATTCATGTGTTCAATTTTTAGGCAAATGTTAAGAAAAGCAGCACCCCTGGCTTGGAAGATCTACCAGATTTAAACTCGACATTCAGTTATTTTGAAACAAGCATTGTTTCGTTGCGAGATGGTCTTGAAATGCACAGGTATAGATTAACAAATTGTTGAAGCATTTTGTAGAAGGAAATTTCTAGTGTGAATTTTATACATCTATTTAGACCTAGGACCTCTGGCAAGAGCTACAGAGGCCAGTTGTCGAGCTCAGTGGTGTAACTTTATTTTTTTGACCACTTGCCCTCAGGGCAAATTGGACATGCGATTAACTGTTTTTTGTCAATCTTTTACTGTTTAGACATCTTGAGAAGTTAACAGAGAGAAAGCTCAAGGAAGCGCTAGACGAGAACTTTGAATAAAGTGTTTCTCCAGGCACTGGCGAGATTTGCTTTCGAGCTGTTGGTTGATATATGTTATTGATCGATAATTTGGATTCCTGAGTCCACCGATTTTTGAATGCAAAATGTATATGTTTCACTACAAACTTTATCCAGTCAGCGACGCGTGTTTTTTGCACATTGTATACATATATTACTCGCCTCGCGTGTTTCTACATTGACCGCATATTTTTACTGTATAGAGCTTATGTTTTATTAAATAACCACAACAGATGTTTGTGGGGGGCGTGGCATAGGTGGCACCTTTTGAAACAGGTTGGTTTTTATACCATAAGTATTAATATTTTTCTAAGCGAGGAATTTGCATTTAATGAAGCACAAATCTTGCTTTGAGAAACAAAAGTTAAAGAACCGTTATAAGCGATGTCAGACGGCGATATTTCTTTAATTTTTTTGTTTTTCAAAGCAAAACTGCCCGTGCTGAATTCAACCCTTTGGGGTTCGCATGCTCCTTCGCACAGGCGTTCCTTTTCTAAATGGTATATTTTGAGTAGTACTAGTTATATAATAAATTTACCATTGATGTATATGATATTTGGAAAGTGTAATACTACATAGCACATTTATATTGAAAGGGAAATTAAAACCGCAAATATTTTGCATTATAAAATCGATCAACTGTATCAATATTACAATATTGACCTAACATTTGTAACACCTTGTATTAAAATGTATATTAAAACATGTTTTCGTTCTGGACTGCTTGTTACGTTGCCAAATATGAAGTAAGTTGTGCATGAATTGACAGGCAAGAACTTGTTCAGCATTCTATTGTTTTTACAACGAATTATTGCCGATATGTTGATAGGTCAATGTGTTTTTTACGCAATATACCGCCATATATACGGCCGGTGTTATAAGAGTATCAATTTTGCTCGAACAAAACAAAGACTTCCTAACATGTTAAACAGCAACTATGAACCCATCCCAGAAGCTTCGTGACAAAGCAAAAAAAAAGAAGTAAATATTAAAAATTTGTGCCAGACGCCACCAGAAGATTCTTGTCTTGTGACTGTCATATGATGCGAAATTCCCTGTGTCTACATCGCCTGATTTTTTTAACCAATCAGCACGGGGCTTACTCAATATGGACCAATCGGAGGTGACGTTGTAAAGGTCGATTCTTCTCGCATTTCGCCCTTGTCGACGACCTTTTCAAAACTTGTATTTTAAAGTGAGTGTATTATTTCGCAACTTGGCGATTTTAAAAGCTTTTCTCGCTGAACGTGGGTGTAATTTAACAGTGGGAAGACCTGAAAAGCCTTGTTCCAAAGTTTAAAGCTTTGGTGGTGTTTCAAACGACGAATTCGCGATGAAAATATATCTTGTTTTGTTTGTTGTTTTTCATAGCCTCCGCATTGCCAACTCGGGTACGTACATTTTGAGGTTGCAAAAGACATTTTCATTCAAATGAAAATTTTGGATAAAAATTTTTATTTTATTTTTTTTTAAACAGGCTGACAATTACACTCGTAAAGATGGTTACTGTATGTGGTATGGGCAATGCGGAATGAATCCTTCGACTAACAAGCCTATAAACTGCCTTTACAACGGACCGGCGAAGCCAGTCGATGGCCCAAAATCTCGTGAAATCTTATTCGAGTTATGCCCAGAATTTGCACACAACGATAGCAAAGTCTGCTGTTCGCACAGCCAACTCGTCAGCCTACAGTCTGGCATACAAAGCGCCCAACAAATGATGGCTCGTTGTCCGGGTTGCTGGAAGAATTTTCGCGAGCTATATTGTCGTATGACATGCAGTCCTAACAATTCAATGTTTATAAACGCCAAAGAACTGAGCGCTAATAAGACAGCTATAACCGCAATAGACTATTATGTCGATAAGGCGTTTAGAGATGGATTGTACAACTCCTGTAAAAATGTCGTGTTTCCAAGTTCTGGTCAGAAAATCATGAGTTTCATGTGTGGTACTTCTGCTGACAAGTGCACCCCCTTGAAATTCTTAAATTTTATGGGCAATCCTGTACGCAATGGGGAGTCACCCTTTTCGATCGACTACCCAACGACACACGATGACAGTATCGACCCAATGTATGTTAAGATAAAGTTATGTAACGAGACTGTGTTTCGACCAGTTACCAACAAAACAAGTAAGCCGTGCAGTTGTCAGGATTGTATCGAATCATGTCCACCTTTGCCACACTACACACCTACCAAGCATTGGGAATTGGACATCGGAGACATTCACTTCAACATAATCAGCTTTGCGACCTTGCTGGTGTATTTGGCATTTCTCGTACTTTTCATCGCCGGTAGCATCTTGTACTATAAGTTCTCTAGCAAGCCTAGCTACCAAACCCACCAGTACCCACAAGCCGTCATCGGAAGTCGTCAACGTTCGTTAGGCGTGCTGGCGAGGCTCGGCAATAGCATGGATAGGACAATTAAAAACATTTTCACAAGATGGGGTAACATATGCTGCGACTATTCAATAGTCGTTATTATCGGCGCTGTAGTCTTCATTATAATTTGTTCCGTTGGTCTACTGAAGTTCACGGTTGTGACGGATCCTGTCAAGCTGTGGTCGTCCCCAGGTAGTCAAGCAAGGAGAGAAAAAGATACATTTGATAATAAATTTTCACCATTTTACCGTACAGCTCAAATAATTTTCTCTGTCAAGCCGGGGAGCAAATGGAACAGTAAAAGTTGCAGTTATAAGCCTTACTTTGCCAAACATTGTAAACTAACTGGCAAGATATTACATTTTGAAGTGCTTCAAAAGGTATGCTATTAATATAGTTACAGCCGGTCACAGACGAGCAAGTTTTCTATGACAAGTTTTTATGTGACAAGTTGTATTTGCCAGGTGCATGTGTGTTTATGCAACAAATTTTATACAGTATGACAAGTTTTCATATGACAAGTTTCGTGTCAGAAAAAGGTGTTTATCGCGCCGCCGTGACAGAAAAATTATAATAGTCCGATGGCCAAACACATCAAATGCTCAGAGTTTGCTTTGTTGACCCATACAGACAAACAAAATTTGTACTTAGACAATTTTTCTATGACAAGTGCACTTGTTCAAAAGCTAGCAAAAACTTGTCAAAGTTGCGCATACAGACGAGTAAATAAAACATGTATCGCATAAAAACTTGTCATAGAAAACTTACAAATATATAAGGAGATTTCCTAATTTCCTCGAGCATTGATATAAACTGTATATATCAATATGGAGAAAATGTTATAGCCAACTATGTTAATCAAAGCACATTATTAATACTGTACTTGTTTATTTTCCTGTTTATGACTGACTTGTTTATGTCTGACTTGTTTATTACTAGTACAAAAGATTGTCCATGTATACCCCGTCCCCCCCTGTATATAAGCTCCCCATTGAATAAGCCCATCAAAAATCGCTTACGAAAGTATATAAGCCCAGGGCTTATAGTCACGGTTAACAATTATACCATGAGCTCGAGTCGTATATGAGCTGATAGCCGACGAGGTGCGTAGCACCGAGTCTGCTATCAGCCATATACGACGAGAGCGAATGGTATAATTGTTTTATAATATAGTCCAATAGCCATTAAATGAAGCAATAATTAATTATCCTCTGTTACAATGTCTTGACAATTTGTTCGGCCAAAAACTGATTGGCCTTGAAAATTTGAAATACTTTTGTTTTACAACTCAAAGTGAAAGAAATGGTTTTAGAACCGGTATATCTCACAGAAAAGCTCAGATATATTGTCCTGCTTCGCAAAACTCATGTAGTTTTTCGATCGCCATCTTGTTTTTCGCTACTCGCCATATATGAGCTGATATACGGCGAGTAATTCAACCAATCAGATTGCAGAACAGCTCATATATGGTGAATGACTATATTATAATTTACGATAATTTGCGTACTTGCATACCAGAGGTACGCCAATATTCCTGTCTGGTACTTCTAGTCCAGTCAAATCACTATAAGTACACGGTCCTGATCAAAGTAATTGCAATAGATTTGTTTTCAGTGGTAAAGTGTGAGAAAAGTTGTTCTGATTAACATACTAAATATCCCAAAAAATCCCTTTGGTGGAACATGGTGAAAATCCAGTTTTTCTTACTTCTACCTATAGAAAACCATTGTGGACAGAATGTTGAAATTTTGAAATTATTTTTAGGCAAAATATTAATGTAACCTACATTATTGGAATGCTTAGGTGCACTAAAATATAAACTAAAATATAAATCATTAAACGGTTATCTTGCTTTTGCCTATCCAGCCAAAGTTATACCAGATTTAAAATGCCATAAATTTGTATTTTGTGCAAATTTTGCACTATTTTTCCAACTTTGAGCTAGAATAACGACAAACTGACCAGTAAATTGAATATAACTGTTTAATGATCTATATTTTAGTTTTTTCTAAGCTTTCCAATAATGTAGGTTACATTTGCCTAAAAGTGATTTCAAAATTTGAACATTCTGTCCACAATGGTTTTCTATAGGTACAGTAGAAGTAAGAAAAACTCTATTTTCACCATGTTCTACTGAAGGGATTTATTTTTATTTTTAGTATGTTAATCAGGACACCTTCCCTCACATTTTACCAGTGAAAAAAATTCTATTGCAATTTCTTTGACCTCTGGTCGCAGATTGACTGGACTATTCTTTGTTTTCAGTCACATAAAAATTTCTGATTATCGGCTTCAATCGATTAATTTCCGATTATCTGCTCATCATGACATGTAACATGTTTTGGTTGGTCTGTATGGAGTGAAATATCTCTATGAAATATTTTCTTTTCCTCTACTGTAGGTTTTAAAAGTGCAAACACATTTGATTCATATGACGGCAGATTATGGTTCAGAGAAGATCACCCTTCAAGATATCTGTAAGAAACCCATGGCACCATACAACAATAACTGCACTGTCATGAGTGCTCTTCAGTACTGGCAAAATGATGCGAAGAAATTAAACAAATGTATTACGGCATTTGGGAAACCTTGTAATTCACCAACGTACAAATTCCCAAGTGCAGCGTGGGGAGACCATCTTTATGCATGTGCTGAGTATGTAAAATATGTTTGAGTATACACTTTCTGAAACTACTGTAGACGTCTCTTTGGCTATAGGCCCATTGCACTGACGTCACAAATTCTTAGAGTGTCCTCCAGATGCTCCCTAACAATATCTGTTCGGGTATAACAACCACATGTACAGTGGCACAGAAATGAACCATTTTAATACAAAATAATTATAAAGTTTTGCAGAAGTTGCTTTGTTTATAAAATTAGTTTACAAATTTGGATTACAAACCCTAATGTTAATTCCACCAAGTGAAGTGCAAGAATCCATATCATCGAAGTTTGTTTACAAAGTTATATTATGCATGGATTGCTAATTTGTCCACCAGGTGCATCGGCACCGGGGCTGTGGCGTCATGTGCAATGCGGTCTATAGAGCCATTTTATACATTTTGTGTGTATGTTGTCTGTCAATCACGTAAAGGTGACGTTGTTGATGTCGAATCTTTTTATGATAATTTACAACGTCACATGTTACTGCAACCAAAGTTTGTAAAATGGGTCACATTTCCACTTACAGTCAAACCAGATGTTCTCTTGCAAGCAACATTGCAATATTGTCCCACAATATTGCAGTTTTGATAGGCAGATTGCTCTGAGCAATTTGCAACCAATGCGAACAAATTGCAAGTTTTGAAATTCACAAAAGATTTGTAAACAAAGCCTCTGATTGGACTATAAGAAAGAGGAAAGCACCAGGCCTTGAATTTCCCTGAAATCAATTGACAGCAATGGCGTTAAAAATTGCCGTAGAACGTAACAGCTGTCTACGGCAATTTTGGCGGTTTCCACAGCATTTTTCAAATTACTGTAATAAAACTTTAATTTTATTGTTATGTTGGATTTTTGACAAGCTAGAAACATGTCTACGTATTTCTTTAGTGGTTTTTCTTCAAAGAAAACTGAGACTAAAATTGTGATTTACGCATTGCCGTCATTACCGTAATGATTCACTGCATTTTGTTCTCCCTCTACGGCGATTGCTGTGATAAAATTAGAGCCCTGAAAAGCACTAACCCAGTTGCTCAGACTATTTGATTGGCTTCCTTTTTGCCAATAGTCCAATCCGAGGCTTTTGTTTACAAATCTTTTGTGAATTTCAACTTGCAATTTGTTCGCGTCGGTTGCAAATTGCTCAGAGCAATCTGCCTATCAAAATTGCAATTTTGTGGGACAATGTTGTAATGTTGCTCGCAAGAGAACATCCGGTTTGACTGTAAAGGGTTAATCATGTTCATTTCTTTTCAAATATAGCAATCCAACATCAACAAATGATTCAACAGCTCTTGGTCTACCATGCACCAGTCTATTTGGCGGTCCAGTCTCACCAAGCATTGCATTTGGCGGTTATGAAGGCAACAATTACACTGACGCCAAAGTACTAGTGGTAACGTTTGTCATTAATAACCATAACGACGACTCTAAAAACGACAAAGCCAAAGCATGGGAGAAGGAGTTCCTTAATTACATGAAAAATTTTAAGGATCCCGATTTGGATGTTGCGTTTCGGGCAGAACGATCCATCGAGGACGAGATTGAGCGAGAGAGTCATGCTGATATCTACACAATTATTGTCAGTTATTTGATTATGTTTCTCTACATCACATTTGCTTTGGGGCAAATTAATCAATGTGATCGATTTATGGTAGGTACATATGTGGAGTAATGTTTTAAAGACATTATTTGCCTGGCTTATTTTGAAAGCCCTGCCATTCTCATCTGTCAGTTTAATTAAGTTAATCTCACTACAGAGGCTTATAATTAATAACGTTCAAAATTTGTCCAGAAAAATGTCCGGCCAAAATGAAATTTGATTGGAAACTTTCCATCTTGGCAGGACATTTTTTTATTCCATTTTTGATTCCATGCCTTTTTTGGTTAAATTGAGCCAATATATAAATAATTTTTTAATGCAAACACTGGCCAGTACAGTTAAATTTATGTAGTGAAATTTAATTTTTTCAACCCCTTATATGTTAACTGAATAAATGCATTGCAACATATTCCCTAATGCGCCCTACTTTATTATTTTACTCTGTCTAGATGATTTCACTTTGTACTCTAAAGCAAGCAGGGCCTTAGCTAGGATTTTAGATCTTGGGCGTGTTTCCAATGACCAGGGCGTGCACATGTCAATTACCTTGAATAGCAAAATCACGGTTCTAGTTATGCTCGCCAACAACAATGCCTGTGGTTGTTCTATGCTTTGCAACCAAATACAAGGCGAGCATACGCTCATATTGCGCACTGACATTAGAATATTAAGTTATTTCAGCAACTCTTGGGGGTATTTAAAACATTTTAACTCCATACAGTTCCCATTATCCATCAAAATATTAAAACATCACAAATCACTTTTGCCAATTCAACAACAACAGTAGATTTTACAAACTTTCTTACGACGTAAATTGGAAGAAATTCTGTCGGTTGTAAGTAGCATGCACCACCTTATTTTATGAACCTACACGGCCTTATATAAATAATGAAGCCGCGTTCATTTTATCTAGCCGTGTTTTTCCACTTTTGGCCGCGATAACACGGCCAACACGGCCCTCTAGCTAAGACCCTGAAAGCAAGACAATTTAGTCTTCAAGATGAGTGTGAACCGTGTATCTGCCCACATATCTAATTACGCATTGAGTTGCATTGCACCTGAATGACTGCCCTACTTTTTTTATTTAATTTAAACTCTGTCTAATGCCAAATGGTTGCACTATTCAGGAGGAGAGCGCTAGATGTACTCAATGGGTTGTACTGTATCTAAACTTGTTGCAAATATTACTTTCTAGATTGACTCCAAATTCAGCCTGGCATTTGGTGGCATCATGATCGTGCTTGGCTCTGTCCTCTGTTCCTTGGGTATCTTCAGTTTTGCCAACAAACCGGCAACATTAATCATCATCGAAGTCGTACCATTCCTTGTACTGGCTGTTGGTGTTGATAACATCTTTATACTTGTGCAGAAGTACCAGCGAGATCTGCAGCAACCGGGTGAAACTGTCTCGAATCAGATTGGACGAGTGCTTGGTGAAGTTGCTCCGAGTATGTTGTTGACGTCTACCTCGGAAGCGGTGGCTTTTGCCTTCGGTAAGGGTATTATTGATAATAGATCACCAATATGATTTAAAGTTCTTGTGTAAAAACATGAGCAGACAAATCAGCTGATCACCTAAAACTTATCACGTAATGGTTCACACGTTTCTAGCATTCTCGTGCATTTCCTCCGGATTTGAGAGTGAGTTACTGTAGGTCTTATGAAATCATACCAAGACAGTGGTTAAGTTAGAATTTCAAAAAAATCCTATGTTAGAAAATGAAAAAGTCGCAAAAACCGGTTTTACGGTTTAACCGGTTTTAAGTCGGACGGTTTACCGGTTTTTATTTTAATCAAAACAACCCAAGCCTAGAAGAAAGTGCTACCTTTTCATTGACATCCATAAATGGGTTAGAGAAACTCAATAAACAACATCTCGGTTTCTTTCTTCTGAGGATGGGTAGAACCTCCGTTTGGTTTTATAATCTGGAAATAAAGAAATCTTTCTTCAGTATTTTGTTATTTTTCCAACACGAAACAGCCACACATTTGGAAACTGAGACTACAAGAGAATCTTAAGTAATTGTAATATTAAGGTTGCCTTAAAACCCTATTTGACCTTAGGCCATATTTTCGCAAAGCCAAAAGATCCTGTTGAAAAAAATCAGAAGACTCATGCTATATATTCTATACCATGCGGTGACTGCGATAAAGAGTATTTGGGTCAGTCTAAACGCCAGTTTGGTACACGGCTAAAAGAACATCAAAAGGCTGTTTCAACTTTAGACAAGGGAAAATCAGCTTTAGCCGAACATGTATGTTACACCAAACACAAGATTGCGTGGGAAAACTCTAAAGTAATTACCACAAACAATCGCTATGGTCAAAGACTTTGCCTAGAAGTGTGGCATATAAATATGAGTCATCGTGCTTTGAATAGGGATGACGGCGCCTATTTGCCAGAAGAATATATGCATCTTCTTGGCAGGTGACGTCATCCCTTGGGTATTTAAGAAGCCACGATCGCAGTTTTAGATCACCCCTGATGAAGACACTAGACTGGAGTGTCGAAACGTTGGGTCTTGATTACAATTCAACTGGGCTTTGTAATCATTTATTTAAACCAGAGTAGCGAGCGAAACATGAATGAGACTACCAGTTCTTTAGTGCATATTTGTTACTGACTTTCAAGGCCTGAGAAAAGTACCAACAGGCAACTCTAATAGGAAGACAACACTACAGTAGATTGAAATGCCTTAATTGTTTTATTAGGTGCCCTGTCATCCATGCCAGCTGTCAAAGTGTTCTCACTCTACGCATCTGTTGCTGTGTTTGTCAATTTCCTTCTACAAGTTACGTGCTTTGTTGCATTGATGTCCTTAGATGTCAGACGTCAACAGGTAATTAGTGCTATAATCATATAGTCGCTGGAATATACTGTAAATATGAGGTAAAACCTAATTTTAATTTAGAAGTGCCAATCACTGTTGTTTAATTTGAGTAAATTAAAAATAATTAAAAACTCATTGACAATGGACCATTCCCCAATTAACCCAAATTTTGAACTCAACAAGTCTAGACAAAAATTTTATCACAGCTTGAAAGAGCATCGCAAAATTAGTAATATTCCAAAGTTTCGTTGCAAAATGTTGTAAAATGCGGATAATATAGCCTTGCGAAGTTTGCAATTTTCAGTCATTTTAGATTACAAACTGGAAATGGTTACCACTTTTGTACGTACAGTAATACAAAATGACTGAAAATTACAAACTTCGCAAGGCTATATTATCCGCATTTTATAACATTTTGCAATGAAACTTTGGAATATTACTAATTTTGTGATGCTCTTTCAAGCTGTGATGAAATTTTTGTTTAGGCTAGTTAAGATCAAAATTTTGGAAAAGTGGTAACCATTTCCCGTTTGTAATCTAAAATGACTGAAAATTGCAAATTTCGCAAGGCTATATTATCCACATTTTACAGCATTTTGCAACGAAACTTTGGAATATTACTAATTTTGCGATGCTCTTTCATGCTATGATGAAATTTTGTCTAGACTTGTTGAGATCAAAATTTTGGTTAATTGGGGAATGGTCTATTCATGAGGAAAAGGCAAATGAAATCACCGCCGTGTAAAAAATCATGTTCATTTACATAAACTTTAGCTTTGATTTTCTCCGTTTAATTAACCAACACATTTCTAAAAATTACTTTGCCAATGAATTCATCAGATGGGTAATTTTTAAGCCATTTAACCCATTAAGCCGCAAAGCTTCCCCATTGATGAGTAAAATTGTCTGGTGTAAGACAATTAGTAAAAAAAATAAGTAGGGCGCTCTGGGGTGCATTGCGGCTAAATGGGTCAACTACTGTTGAAACTTTGTCAGATTTTTTGGTTAACCCATTAAGCCCCAGAGCTTTTCCATTGACGAGTAAAATTGTCTGCCATTGGACAAGTAAAAAAAAAAATAAGTAGGGCACACTGGGGCGCATTGCGGCTAAATGGGTTAAAATACTTGCAGTCCACGCTTTGTGAGATATAAAACACTCAAGCTGCACTCAGACTAAGCACTCTCGTGTTTTTTATCTGATAAACACACCTGCTCATGTTTTAAATAGTACTTACATGGCAAATTGTGGTCTGTGTGTCTTACTTTATTATTTTACTATGTCTAGTGCCAGGCAATTTTTACACGTGCTGCCTGCCACTCAATGGGTTAATGTTGTATTATACTTTACTTTCCAGGGAGAACGTTTTGATGTCATTTGTTGTTATAAGAATTCCAAAGTGCCCAAAAGGAAAAACACACCTAGTCTTCTTTATCAATTCTTTGATAAAATCCTATCACCAGCACTATTGTCAGAGTTTGTACGTCCTGCAGTGGTGATTTTGTTCACCACATTACTGGCTCTCAGTATCATGTTCATACCTAGTATCGAAATTGGTCTGGATCAGTCTCTTTCCATGCCTAAGGTAAGAAATAATGCATTTATTCTGAATAGGAGGTTGTGTTGATGAGTAGGCGGCTGTCAGGGATGAGTCTTAAATTCATCCAAATTAACTACTGTAGTGTATGTTGATTAATAGATAGTAACACAACTGAGCTCTGTGACCAAATTATAATGTATCACTCCATTCTTCAACAAAATTACCTCTAAGATTTAAGATAGCAAATACTAAATCAGTTTTACGAAATAGCATGTCGTTTTCTAAGATTTAAGATAGCAAATACTAAATCAGTTTTACGAAATAGCATGTCGTTTTCAAAACAAATAACCAGGTTATAAAGTAGACCAGGCTCATGAAAAAAAATAACTTCGTTTGAAAGCTTAGATTGGAGGAATGAGAGCAGAATTGATATTTCAAGTACTAAGCTTATATAGGTAATCATGAGATGGCGAGTACAATTGGGGATTAATAGTACGAGTTTGGAAATTTTGCCAAAATTGGACGAGCAGCCGGGGCGGGGCCAAACATCACGAGTACTATTAATCCCTAATTGTAAGAGCAACATCACATGATTACTTGTTTATTATTATCATGACAAAATTGGATACTTCTCCGTCAACATCATATTCTCTCGCCAAAGCCCAGTCCTGCCAGACTTTCAATCAAAATTTGGTACTTTTGTTCGTATTTTCATTTAGTTCTTTTGTTAATTAAATTAAAGCAAAATTTGGAGCTTTTGTTCGTATTTTCATCTAGTTCCTGAAGGGCAATTTCATTTCACATTCGTGTTCAAAATACCTTTCCGCCATTTTGTTTGTTTTGGGAAAATCATTAATTGTACTGCAGTACAATTACAGTGCGTCTACTGTAAGTTTGGCCACTTAGAGAACACTAACCAATCGCATTGCAGAACAGAAAGAAAAATCTAATCAAACTAAAGCTCGTCCAATCAAAAGAAAGATTCAGGAAGCCATTAACTGCAGTGTTTACTTGTACAAGTCTATTTTTACCGTTTGACATTCGTTTATTTGTTCGAATTGTTTTTGCCCTAATGCTGATTGGCTAATGCGCCGTTTGTTGATTTTTCACTTTCTGTTCTGCAATGTGATTGGTTAGTGTTCTCTAAGTGGCCCCACTTACAGTAAACGCACTGTAACGAAATAATTGTACTCCTCTCAACCAATCAGCATCCAGTAATTTTGTCATAAAGTAATTGGCTGTTGAACCTTGTGGAACCTGCAGCTTGCTTGAGTTCCGATCGTCGCTGGCTTATTTTGAAAAGCCAACCACCAACCCTGACATGATGAGCTCGGCATTTGCCGATTACTGACCTGAATTCCGGTACTCAAACTCCTGACCTCAGCTAAGGGAAACTAACCAGCAATATTTCAATTTCTCCAGGATTCTTACATGATTACATACTTCAAAATGCAGCAGGAAACGCTCAAAGTTGGAGCTCCAGTCTACTTTGTTGTCGATAATCCAAAATATCCCTACCAACTGCGTCAATGGCAGAACAAAGTATGTGGGGGATCTGGCTGTGATAATGATTCTCTTATACAGATTGCATATGAGGCATTTCGCAGATCTGAGCAGTAAGTATTTAATTAAACTACATTGATGGTACACTAAAAATCCGCATAAAAGAAATACCACCAGCCCTCTCTCCTATGCAGAGCTTTCCTGACTTTTTAACAAGCCAAAGCTTCGATATTGTAAGACATACGTAAACAAGGTGATTCGCCGAAGCGAGAGATAGAGGCGCTAGTCTAGCACCTTTATCCCTTGTTTATGTCTTGTAATATCGAAGCTTCGCCTTGTTAAAAGCCAGAAAAGCTCTGCGGGGGAGAGAGCTACCAGCCTGAGATTCAAGTAAGCACCCAAAATTCCAAGAACCACTTCAGACAGACAAATAATACTGGTTCTACAAAATCCCTTTAGAATGCATGTTTTAGGGGTGGCAGGTATACAGGCAGGTATGTGCTTGAATTAAAATAGCAATTAGTACTGGCTTTTGCATGATATGAAGAGTTATGAAGCCCTAAAAGTTTGTGCTATCACCCTTGCTCAGTAATTGTTAATTATTTGCACCCTGGCCATTGTGCTAACATTGTAACCAAGGCCGGATTTTGGTGGAAATAGTTGGGGAGGTGGAAAATTTAGGGCAGGTGCAGCGGTCTAGCTCACGACCCCCATGGAAAGTTAGGGCTTAGAACGGGCCAACATCAACAACGTGACATGTGCATGTAGTGTACATATGTATCAGTGTATTAATGAATTATGACTGCATGTGCAACTCATCCAATTTAGCCCTTCATTACAATTACTGCAAAGTTTCTGTAAAAAAACATTGCATTAAAAGGGCACTTGACACAGAGATGAATATGGTTATCACTGTTTCAATTTTACAGAAAAAAAACTGTAGACCCTAAGGAACCAAAAAATGTCAAATTTTCAAATTTTTTTTAAAATTTTGATCTATCATTGAAACTTTCCCAAGGGGAAATGCATGACTTTTCAGGTGAGGTGAAAAAATTCTCAGGGGAGGTGCAAGACGATCTCAGGGGAGGTGTACCTCCCCTCAAAATCTGACCATGGTTTGGACAGAATTTCAAAGTTATAACTTAAGTACATGTAACTGTACAGTATGTCTTCACACAGAGAACAGTGGTGTATTCATGGTGCACATTTATTTGATATAGAACAAAAATTGGTATGTCTTTATCGTCCTGGTTGGATGACTACTTCAGCTGGGCAGATCCTTCAGGCAAATATCCATGTTGTCGCTTGTTGGATTACAGTAACAAAACTGGCCATAAAGTAATTCCTAAACCTGGCACATTTTGTAATGCATCAAGTGAGTAGATACGTCCATATGCCAACTTTAGCTTCCGCAATGCATAATATTGTTGTTCTTTACATCTTAAAAGCCGTCTAATTACGCATATGACGTGACTTGTATATTTCTCTCTACAGTGACAGAAAGTTATTATCATTGCCATTCCTGCTTGTTAAATAATCAAATTGGTCAACGTCCGAACACAACACAGTTCAGGAAATATCTACCGTATTTCCTAAAAGACAATCCAGAAATTAACTGTACAAAGGGGTAAGGGTCTGAAATTTAATATCTTTTATCAGTACCCCCCACTGGGATACCATGGAAACTACAGATTGAGGGTGAATTAATCCCAGTCAACCTGCAGCTTTAACCTATAATGCATAAACGGATTTTGTGGGGGGTGCAAGGGGTGCTACCCCCCCCCCCCAATATTAGCTATAACCCCCCAAACAAAATGTCCACCCCTCCAAAAAAATTTTCAACCCCCCCAATATTCGGCATAATAAAAAATAATTAAATAGTCCACTCCAACGTGCAGAGTGTTGATGATACAAAATAAACATAGGAGTACACTCAAATAGAAAAAGACAGTGCAATACTCTGAAACTAATTG